ATATCATAGCACCTCAGTAAGACGGATTCCGTCAGCAACGGTCGTGTACCACCAAACTACTGCTTTCCCTTCGCACTTAGACCGAGATAGCCGACAGTGGGACTGACTTTGCTGTCATCTACATAGATTTCTCCAAAGCATGCGACCACGTAGATCAACGAATACTTTTCCAATGACTGCAAGCATACGTAGTTGGTAACCCAGTTTTGAATTAAGCGAAAACTTCTTCTGTCAAAGGCGACGTCACATTCGAGTTGGAGGCTCATTTTGCTGAACCAACCCGATCCGCAAGGGTCGGTGTTGGTGCCGCGGTAATTATTTTTCTTCACCAACGACCTTGCGAGTATCATCTAGTCAAGTTACCTACGTTTTCTTGATGCCATCAAGGTCTGGCGGGCAGTCGAGTGTCAGGCTGATCACGATATGTTGCAAGGAGACCTTGACTGCGCTTTTGAGTGTTCAAAGTTACATATTCCTCCGTTCAACACGAACAAGTTCAAAACCGTGCACCTACGCCACCAGCCCACATACGCATATAAGCTTGAATACGATATGTTGCACACGGTCTCACAAGAGCGATCCTTTAGGGTGGTAATCCAAGACGACCTCAGCCGTTCGGCGCAGCCCTTGAAGGCATCCAAAACAGCGAACCAAAATGTTGGCCTGTTGCGGAAGGCGTTCGGAAGGTTCGATCTCTCCATCATTCCCCAAATGCTCAATGCGTATGTGAAGCCCCATGTAGAGCAAGCGATCTAGACTTAGCAACCATAGTTAAAACGCGACCCGGTTGCACTGGAGACCGCAGGGTGACGGTCAAGGAAAAAACTGTGTATGGTTTGGCCACTTGAAGGAAGATAGTCAAATGTAAGCCCTGGGATTGTACGGTGGAAGATTTCTCCGTCTACAGGGTGACCTCATCCTGGCGTTCCAGATTTCGGATAACCCCTGTTACGGTTGCTTTCTCTTCTTGAAGCTAAGCTGCAACCTAGCATCGTAGGGTTATAAATTGAAACTTCCATCCAATACAGTCGGCTTTTTTGCCGCCAGAATTATTTTCCCTTCGAATTTGTCAAACATGGAACGTTCTTGCGACTCTTGTCATTTCCGCGCCCACGCCACCCATTATTAAAAAAGTACTCGACGATGCTTTACACCAGTTACATTACTTGCCCCGCTTTCTATTCACTGAGTGATAAGAAGACGCAGAAACATTGTGCTCACCAACCACACGCAATCGGGGTTGAGGGATATGCCTAAGTGTTAACGTGGATAACATGTGTCCACAGATGTGTTTTTTACTACTATGAAACTTCACTGAACTGATGTAATTCCCACAAACCAACCCACAAGACTTATCAAACCTTGGCACTTTTAGCAGTATTACACCATTGTTTCCATGTACACATTGCTTCTGCAACAACAAACCACATCTACTTCATCGGTTCTTGATTATTATGTAGGTCCCTAACTGCGGTTTGGAGAATCCAGACGAAGGGATACAAGTTGACCAGATGTTCTTAAGTCGTATTGTTTTCCTCCTTTCGATGCAAATTAACTAGTCCTCAATATAGTCTCTTCTTATACTCGCGGCAGGAGGCTCAAAGTCACTGATAATGTTCGTCCCGATAAATTAGTTTTGCAGAATGGGACGCATATCGCAGCGTTCTGAGACGGATACCAAGTTTTGAAGTTGAGACCTTCCAAGTACCGTAAGATCGTTTTCCAGTGGACCGGATCCGAATAAAGTTGGCTGTTGACGATCTACGGATATGCCAGGGAAATGGTGAATTTATCTACACCTCGTACATTTTTGCCTCATTCAATATGCGCCGAGAGTTCGGTGGAGGCCTATATTGTCGCCACTGGGTGCTTAGATTATAGAATGGTTTGCGGGGGATATTTGCTATGTGGCGTGGCCTGCGTAACAAACATGATAAGATTCAACCCCTTGTCTCTGATATTTGCACTGAATTATTTAATTTTACAGAGGCTTAGTTTTCGTTGTAGATCCTTGTACCTAAGGTGTATATTAAAGCGCATGATCCATCTCTGGTCAAACATTCTGGAGCGAGATCTGGCGCTGGTGGGATTCCCGATTGGAATGAAAGTCACATGAAACATCTACTGGAAAAGATCGGTGAAAATGATAGCAGGTCTGGACGTCTTTGGTGCCGAAACCATGTTGGATGCAGGTCTCTTATGACTGGCGATGTCTACAGTCCCTTCGGTTTCCGGATACAACTCGCTGAACTCCTAAAGAAGCATGGTGAGAGCAGAGATTGTCTGATTCTGGAAGATTTTAAGGCTTCTGGTATCGTTTAGGACTAACTCTATCTTGATCTGACTCCTGCATATTTCGGCACTGTTTTCCTTAAAACCGTCCCTGCATCTCATCAATTTCAGCGAGTTGCACAGCTCAAAGGATGTGTGCAGGTCATTAGTTACTTATCCTCGTCGTTTTTCTCATACCGGCACAGTCTAATGATTCTGACTTATTTATTCTCCAACGGCTTTATAGAATCGATCAATGTATAGTTTTCTTTTTCTGGATGCAACGGTTGCCATTTCTGACATGGGGGTGTACCGTCGGAACAGCTGGCGAGTTGATGCACTTGATTTGAAAAGTGCTGCTGTTAATATGGATCGGAATTTACCTCGGCATTTAGGCCCTAAACCGCTTACGGTATATTGTACTCTCATTTCCAGTTATTCAATTATCAGCAAATCTTAATCTTTAGATAGCATCGTTTCTCCAAAGGCCTTATTTTAGTTGATTGTAAAGTAACTTCCCTTAGAATTGACGACGCAAATTGTGGGACAAGTTCTAAGGTACGCCATCTGCGTTAGGTTAGTCTTGTTATAAAGCAGTCAGTCATAAGGGGGAAGAATGAGAAGATTTTCAAAAGCTTGGTGGACATCTAACTAGTAAGTAAGCAGGGTAGTGTTGTTTCCACTGGGATCATAATGTTTACTTACAGACCGACGTATTGCAAGTGTCAATGATACACCCATGTTCGTAATGAATATTGACGGGGCTCACATTCTGGTCTCTATAATTCCAGTGGATTCCAATGATCTTCCGTTTATAACACTAGCATGTATAATAATCCATAGGTAATATTGTTCGTCGCAGTCAGCTGACAATTCGGATAAGTCAACTACCTATCCGGAAAAGCATCAGACGGCCGTTTCGCCCTATTGGGGCTCGTCAGTGGTTCTCACTAGATGACCGAAGGATGCGCACCACTGACAAGCCCCAATAGGGCGAAACGGCCGTCTGGTGCGTTTCCGGATAGGTAGTTGACTTATCCGAATTGTCAGCTGACTGCGACGAACAAAATTACTTCCTTAAATCCTTCTACTCATAAGTAATATAAATTCGCCCTTACGGATTCCATAAATGCTATGTCGATTCATAGCTGCCGTAAACAGGAAGTCCTGACGCCGGAAGGCCAACCGCTGTCATCTGCAGGGCAGGTGATTGCGTGACAGTGGGGGATGGGTCGGGCTATATCGCAGTTAACTAACAATTTGTGGTGGTCGTCTACCGTCCTCCATGGCTCAGTTGCATAAGCAGCGGGCTAGTTGGCACAAGCCACTAGCAGTCATGGGTTCGATCCTCACTAGAGGACCGAAGGATGCGCACCACTGACGAGCCCCAATAGGGCGAAACGGCCGTCTGGTGCTTTTCCGGATAGTTAGTTGACTTATCAGAATTGTCAGCTGACTGCGACGAACAAAATTACTCGCTAAAATCCTTCTACTCATTAGTAATCCATAGGTGCTTATACTAGTTGATATCAATGCCGTTGACGGAGTTCCTAGCGTATACCCATGTCTTGAAGAGTATCAACTAGGTGTGCCACGACTGTTAGGAACTCAGTCACAAGACCAAATCGAGAGGCCATTTTTCAATGTAAGTAATGCATTATAGCTGGCTGAAATACAGTCGTAACTTACACTTCCACCTAGTGTGTCAGCCGTGGAACGACGATCCCTCTGATGGCGCTTTTGCTCCCAATCAAACTTTATTTAAAAACACCTAAGCGATCGGCTTAGCTAGGTGCCACTCTCAGATAATATGTGTTGTTCATGTGGTTTAACATCGCAAGCAAACCAAGGTTCTCAACCTCCAACCACGTAGACTCACAATTGTTTTCGGTATGGTAACCGTAAGGTAAGCAACTTCCCTGACTCGCATGTCACTGCTTTTGATACTTGAGTCTTATGCAGTTCCATGGACCTGATTAAACATTAGCTGTATTATTCGTGATATATCCTTGTTTTATCGTCCCCTTGCACAGTGCCCGTTTGGATGCTGAAGCGCAGTCTGAAACCGTCATGAAGTGAACCAATTTACGAAATCGTCAGCGATTTATACTGAAACTACATAATATGATTAAAATCATTTTGCATATTCTCTGGTGTAACACATCTGTCTAGTTGTTGCCCAAGCCTATACAATCGCCTCTCTGTTTTAATGGGTATTTATCTCTTGGATTGTGATAGGAATTGCCTCAAACAATTTAGACTACAGGATATCAGCTCTTTTATTCCAAACGGGCTCATTTTCACACGACTCATTTATGGATAAATGCTTATTGCTTACGATGGTCATGTGCCCAGCCCCTTAACATTAATTCTTAGCCTCCCACTGAGTGTACTTCACAATGCTTAAGAGAATGCGGAGCAGCGTTGCAAAAAAACCCTTACAGTAGAATTCATAAACAGGGAGTGCTACAGCCCAATGAATTACATGCATAAAATGAGGCAATCAATTAAATCTCAGTTGTTGTTAATGGAATTACAATGCTACTCTTTTGGAGCAAAAATAGATGACGAAAGTCTGCGATAATATATCAAGTAGAATCTTCCAACTTGCAGTGTAAGTTTTCAGTCATTCGACTGAGTGATCTTTGTGTAAAATGAAGGTAATTGCAGGGCAGCAGATGGAAGGTTGTTAGCAGTCTGAGAGACAACCACAGCAAGCGATGGTAATGCTAAGGAAAGCGTAACCATGATGTATGGCCTGGTACCTCACGAATCTCTTCAGCTGGAAGGCAGTAAGTTAAAGTGATGTTGCAAACAGGTAACATCATTACGCTAAATATTGAAATACAGGAAAACTTCAGAGCATTTCTTCATGGCATTTTATTAAGTGTATCCAGTACTAACCTATCTTCAGTGAGTGCGGGAAATATGCATGAGTTCTTTGGGGGGAGTAACTTTCTTTTCTGTTAAATGCGCTAGCGTACTTGCAACAAGGTGTACGGTTAACGGTGTCGTCCCATAATTCGTAAATTTCGGCGTTAGTTAACTTTGAAAAATCATCTGTCATTTGCCTGTTATTATCTGATTGTTATCTACAATATTTAGTAGAATTTCCTCATATCCGAAATCAGGCAGACAGTCGTCAATGCCTGGAAAAGCACTCTGCACCTGTTTCATCAAAATGGATCTCGTCAGGATTTCGTATAACACCAGACCTTTGTGGGACTCGAAATCTCAACATCACAGTTGTCAATATGTTATGACGAAACAATGGATAAGTACCTATTCGGACTTGACGTCATCATACTACGCTGCGATTCAGAATTATGTGTAGTTCCTTGCCTCAGAGAAATTCCTGGCGTTATGCATAAACAGACCACAAAAGCAAAATGCACGAGGATAGAGAAGGATTAAACGTACACATTCACCGAAATGTATAGGTTTCTCAAATGACGGTTTACAAATAAGCGGGCATGGTACTTGGATGCATTGCTTGTTGAGCTTTACCGTAAGATTCTAATGTTTGGGATGGAATAGTAACTTGTGCGTTCTGTCAATCAACGCAATATAAAACTAACCGATCGCCTTAGGTCCACATCATTATGAATGTCATCCGACTGCAAAACTCGACAAAACACTGATTATGTGGTAATCGCCATAAATATCCGGCTTTTAGTCAATTACTACCCGGCAAACTGACCTATTGATTGTTTGTATCCATAAAAATTTTCTGACAAATATTCCTGAAACATACTCTTATTCAATTGGACGTATCCATTGAATTTGCACTTCGCACTGCGACTGTTCAATAAGTTTACCAATTTGCTGTGTTCATTCATATGCCATGGAATATCAGCAAGATAGATGGAATCCTTCAGTTTCATGCGGAATATCCGTTGATGTTTGTCAGCAGAGATTCTGAGTACCTTCTGAATCTCCTCGCAAGTGTAAGCGCTGTATTGAATATGCTTCTTCACCTATCAAGGAGAGTCATACAGTAAATAAAGGCATGCGCAAAATAGTCCTAACAATTTTATGCAAATATTTATTTTACTATTTAACCTGATGCAATTCTGAGGTAACGGCAGTCTTCTATATCCAATACCATTTGTTATAGACAAAACGTGTCCAGGAAAGTTCGTTAACATAGCAATTGTTTGTAAGTATAGAATGAATGTGGAAATGGTAAAAATCTAATTGAGGAAATGGTTGCATGCGGGTTTTACGTTTAATTTACTAAGAATAAAAGTGTTGCACGTTTGTTGTAATTTAAAATGTCGCGGTATTACCTCTTTGCAAACATCCACGTGTGAAGGACCAGAAACCAGCGCGGCTGCAGATGGAAGGTGGATGTTTTAATTAAATAGTTCTTGGTATGAATAGTCAAATGAAAATGATGAGATAAATGACAGACTTGAGTGTTTACAGCTCAAATTTACATCCTAATAAGGAAACTTATGTGGTATTTTACTTCTAACAACACTGAGGGGAAATCGCAATCAACGTGTCAGACAATGAAGTAAGTCGACTTGTTAGTTGTAAATTGTATTTCCTTATTTAAAATTGCGCATTCCAGGGAAAGTACCTAATCCGAAATGCGAAACATATCTTTATTTATTATTCATTGTTATCTTTACATCACAAAATATGACATATGTGAAGGTAGTGTTTAATCAGAGGGAAGAGGCACATTTATTTGACAAGGCTGTCAGCTAGACTACCGCAAGCGCATGATGCAGATGACTGGGCCCCTACACTTCTCCGCGTCTACGCTGATTGGTTTATAATTGACTGCGCTGGAGTCGGGTTTCTCGAGCGAATTAACGCTCGTGTGAAGCACAATATTGTCACAATTGTGAACATCCATCTACCAGAACGTTGCTGTATGATGAACACAGAATTTATGTACAAATTTGCGCCAATTTCAGTCTTAACATGAATCTATCTGTTCGCTACAAACAGCTAAATTGACGTGCACCATGCTTTAATTTCCATCGGCTGTACGACCATTCCGCGAACCAAACCCTACAATAGTTCTATTAAGACATATTTTATACAAATGCCGTCCGTTTAAAATCTCGTTGTATTGATACTTGTAATTCGATTGAATGAATATGGCCTCCTCGGTTTAAAGCAAACTCAACACAATTGTTCAAAACATTATTTTCAGTGTTTATAGTGAGGATGTCCGTGTGGGTGCGTTTTAATTCACAGGTTGTTTGATTTGAAATGAAATAAACTCTCATGGCATTTCAGAACATACCACTCGGATTCGTGTACCCATGGGGTATGGCATCTTTCAGTCGCAAATGGCTCAAAGGTTTAATGTGGATCGCCCATTTGAATACCAGTTTTTTACCCAGACAATGGTTTATGACAAGTAAAATGCATCCGTATGATATCGCTTGTAACTGGACGGTACAATAAATTGAAATTCGAATACCACATAACAATTCCATGTATGTCGGGTCACGAGATACTCTTTTACGATGACATGTGATCGGAACAAATATTCTTTAATCCAAACGACTGGCTATTAAACTACACTGAAGATGGGTGTTTGCGCTTAACTGTGGCATACCGCTTCTAGTAAAACTGTATAGTTGAGACCACCGCAAGCAGTCTTTGCAACATATCAATGTTACTCACAGTAATATTTTCCATGTGGCACTGCAAAAAGAAGAGAATATTCCATTAGATTAGAAATGCATGATATACAATTAATTAGAGAATGACTTTGTGAGAAATTGAATCTGACACATTACAGATCGTCACACCGTTTACTAATCATCGTCGTTTCCAGCAGATTAATTCTCAAGTAACACAAATTTGAATTTATCTCGACGCTGTGACAATCTGTTTCAACCCGAGAGAACTACTGTTTTCTTGAACTGTACTCGAATAATTTGGGGAGGAAACAAGAGTCCCAATTAAAGTCCGGCACTTGCATGGGGTATGAAACAGGGAGCACTAGTAACGGTGTTCTCGAAATTTCCTACTAACGTTATGTTACCTTCAGGACGGAGCATTTCACCGTCCATGTGAATCTGTCAGTAATGGAAAAGCGTGAAATACAAGAAATGACTAGCAAAACCTCAAGCCAAATCTCAGTTTAGTCGCAGTATGTTAGCTCAGGCACTTGTGGAATTGAGTGTAGTATATTCACGATACGTTAGGCACAAGGACAAAAATGCTGTGGCGTCTAATAAGATAACCGATTTTAACTGCAGCGGCCCAAATACAGAAAAATCATTCTGAAATATTTTGGGAATCGTCTGGTTTCCAACCTTTGTCTAATGCATCCTTCGTTTTGCCAAAGTTAATGACGGGGCACCCCGTATTCATTCGATTCCAGAAGGAATTGAAGCGAAACGCTGCTTCGCTATTCTCCGCGGGACCAACCAGTTGACCACAAAGGGAAGCTTCGAATTTCACATAGAGAACCTGAGTGCCCACGTAGCGAGGAATCATTTTGAACTCACAGGATTTAGGTGGACACGGTGAGCGGTCACGGATCTGGAAAGGTTGAAGAGAACGTAAACATAGATCACACTTGTACTGATGTTACACCCTAAGACAAGTCATTTTATGCATAGCAAAAGAAGCATAGCCTTAGTGACGATTGGTTGATGCTAGAACCCTGCCTATTTGTTTGTGCGTCGAGCGGTATCAGGTGGCTTTTCGATTCACATGAATATCTTCACTCTGACTTATTTGACCTTGAGATTTCGAACAAACATATTATAATGGTGATAGCTGCTGCTCTTTATGTTGCATCCGGTTGTACATTACGGAGTGAAGTTATATTTACAGCTTACAGCTATATTTATGGTACGACATACGTCGTGTAGCATATTCAATAAATGGTATCTCTGATTTCCACTTGCAGATGGACTACATCTGTATAATTGTTAAATGAAAGGGAGCACTTGACACCATCTCTTAAAGCCGTTATGTATCCAAAGAGGTAGATAAACGACACTCAGCAATCACTGTGAACTAATGGATCCAAGACTTACCGTATTACAGTTAATTGTGTCCGCTTGGTTTCCGTTGAGCAAAATTGTGAAACCTAGTCAATGGCAAGATTAAAGTACCCGCAATAAAAGACAATCATACTGTGCTCTAGGCTTAATGATTTTGGTGGCATCAAATGCATGTGGACGGCCATGTTTACAAACAGCAACTCATAGTATGCACATCTAATTCTCCTAGATTAAGGACGTGGATAAGTAGAGTCAGCGGACATTTTGTCCTTGATATCCCATGAGAGGTTATGTTTCAACAAGAAGGAAAACGAAATATAACCGGTTTATTGTCGCTTTAATTGTTTTCAGTATAAGCTTTGAGAACTGGAAAAGAATGATGCACCTTGTAAAATGAAGACAGATAGTACAACCTTGATAATTGCGCAACGCTAACGATTTGTCGCATGACATGCGTCCTAACAATTGTTGTACAACGTTAGTGCTTTGAATATCTGACATTTCAAAGTCCGGATTGAGGTTTTAAGGATATTTGCTAAATCTTAAACAATGAACAATGATTTATCTCTGAGATAAAAGTAGTTTGTTGACAAGTCCCGCAGGGTTGTAAGTGTAAAACTACAGCAGCAACAGTTACGTGTCTTGTCCGTTTAAGCGTTTTTTGAGCATAGGTACTACTGAATAACATTAGATTTAAAGGAGAATTGAATGCAAGCAACAAGACAAGATGAGAGCTGGTATAGATGAGATACTCATTGACAGAGTAACATCATGAATACTCTTACAGCATATTCTTATGTCTAAGTAACACATTAATTTGGTTCGAATTCATGATTGACATATTCCAAAGTAGTACAGCTTGAGAAACAAATTGACAAATGTCAAAGGTAATTTCCAATTTTTTGATAATATCCTTTAAGATAGGTAACAGCTGAGTTTGGCGGAGAGTTGCAGGGTTGGTAAACCCGAAGAGGAAAGTTATGCCTTCGAGAGTTTATATGGTTGTATTGCACACTCAGTCTCAAACATTTACCTTTGAGATTGGTGTTAAGGCTCTGCTTCAACAATTGACGGCACACTTGATTAGGGCTAGTCGGTTTTTAGTACAAGGATATGTGGTGGCCTCGTAGCATAAGGTAGCGTACGCTAAAAACTCCCGGTGACCTCAGCCTCTGCCGGTGCAACAAATTTTGTGGACAAGTGACGGTTTGGTAGCGTTGTGGTGTCTCTAGCACCTCCAGGTCGTGACTCAACCAAGGCTGCCGAGCTTAGATGACGTATAGAAGTTGTGGGCGCATATAAGTATAGTGCATCACCGGGGAGATGGATGGGGCAACCTTCTGGAATGTCGTAAACAGCAGCAGACTGACGTGTTAGTTGTTGCTTTTTCCAGTTGCCTCCGCCTGTTTTGAACAGTTACTCTCATTGTGATTGATCATACCAAGGTCGCGGTCCGCAAAGTGTGTGGCTTAAGCCAACGAAAGCTGTCATGCCGATATCATAATTGAAACAGCCGATATTTCCCACCTCGAATGATAAAGTATGTTGAGCTGACCAATGCGTAATTCTGTTAAACTCACCCTGAAGTACTTTGCGCCCGTACGATTGGTTAATACCTCTCCATATCTTTAGATTGTTAGCAAAGAGGAGGAAACGAAATAATTGACCCCGTTAGAGCATTTGTTAAAAGCAAGAAAACGCAAGGCCTTAGCAGCGATCTTGGAGTTACACCGCAAACCATCTTCGTTGCGTCGGACATTTCTCGTGCTCTCACACTAAAGCGACATTCATGCAGGAAATGTTATGTCCAACGCAGGAGTGTGTCACCATAAAAGAAGAATCCGTTGTTTTAACAGATCAAAGGCTTTAGAAAAGTCTGGGTAAATGGCATGGATTTCTACGTAATTAACAGTTTCGCAGTGAAAGCGGATTTGTTAAAAGCCACCTTACTCCGGTGCTATTATGCCATGGTTTTCCAGATCCAAGTGATGCTAAATTCCTTAAATTTGAAACGCACCAGAAGCAACATTATCCAGCAATAATGGTTTGGGACGGTGCAGCAACTTCCCTTAGCATAGGAGTGAAGACCTCTCACTTCCATACTGATAATAATTGGGTTCTCCTCTAAACAGCTCCGATAATAATATCCAAACGCTCCGCCAGATCACCGGCTACTACCTCTAGAGCCATTCGGTTGATAACGGGATATTCGTGCACGGGTAGTTACAAGTTTCTTCAACACAAATTCTGCAGTAAACGTGCTATTTGATAACGCTGACAATTAGAAAATAGAAATAGTTACAAGCAATGTGACGGTTACTCTCGGAAGCGTATGTGGATAATAAAAGCCTCAGAGATCAACTGCTTCCTTTTGATTATCGCATGCATCCGTCACCCGTGACCAGATATGGAATTCCTGGCTGCATATTACGAAGGTTATTAGCATGCCTGTATTAAAGTTTGCAGTTCGTACAGAATCGTTTCATTTACTCTTGCTGAGACGTCACCTTGTCTTCGCGAATTAGTTACAATTAGAATTCACACCTTGCTACCAAGGCAGTTTGCGTTTTGGGTTTTTGGGGTTTTATGAGGTCTCCATCCTTAGTCCCTCAAGCACATGTATTCAGTTGCATTGCCCTTCAGAAATGACTTGCTTTACCTTCAACGGTGGCAGCTGATATGTTCCAACGCGTGAGCTATCAGCATGCTAAAAGTCCTTGTGAACGTTTCCTAGTCGCTATCGATTGCCGCTATTTACAAGTCATGCGCATTAATGTCTCCCGCGATAAAAATATGACGGTAGAACTTGTTCAAAGCATCATGAAAAACTGTGGTTGCGTTTGTAGTCATTTGCGCGCGTAAAGTTTGGAATACAGTAAATTGTGGCTATAAGACACGTCCTTATTCAGCAACCGTGACCAGCACTAGAGCGAATCAAGGCAATGCGTTCCGGGTGATAAGTATGTTCACGTCAGAGGTTAGGTTTTTAATACCGAATTAAACCACCGCCCCTCACAACTCTGACGTATCAAAGCAGTGACATACTAGGTAAGATGATAGCAGAATGAGCTATCTGGAGGTGTAACCAAGTCTCCGCAATAAAAATGAGATGCCACCATGGTGACGCTTGGCATCCTGTATTACGTCCAACCTACCAAGATGGCCTTGGATGTTAAAAGCGTGTCAGTGGACTTCAAATTAATGGTTAATTCAATGTCTACAGTTCATCTCTCAAATCATAGTCACTCCGTGTAGGTCGTTAATACTTGAAATTCGGTCAGGCTGCAGGATTGCACAGTACGTTAAAGATGGCAATTTTCTCTCTGTCCTGGTAGGCGATGTGAATTCTACTGTATCTGCTACTCTGCAGGACTGTGCAGGCAAAGGTATTACTGAGGTTGATTGTTCTATCAAAGAGTTTCCCTCTCGTGGCTATTTGCTAACTATCTTAAAATAATTCTCATTTGGCAGTTTAGATCGATAATTCAACCAACTACAAAATAGGTCTAATAACATGCCCTAAGATTTTATTACCGTATCAATATTTTTAGACCGCAAACCCTGTTGTTTGGGTTGACAAAAATGTCAGCCATTATTTAACAAAATCATCGTTAGGAGAGAGCGCTTCGCTTACATATCACTACTAATCGAAGGCATGAGCTTGCGCGTAGTAATAAAGAAAATCCCGTAGACAAGCAGCAGCATGGACAAATGTGTTTCAATTCCTAGTGTTTGTAAAACAGCCGCCATTGATGCTGGTTAAATTAAACACTAGTTCCAAAAGATGTCTGCTGGTATGCATAAATCGCTTAATAGTTTTTGACGACGAAATAATTTGACAAGGATGAACAATATCTCCCACGCTGGTTACGAAGATACTCCATGAAATAAAGCAATGACGCATTTCATTGATGTTTCATGACGCGGAAAGCAAAAAAGCAGTGAGATTAATCTAAACACAAACGCAAAACGGATGGATTCCAATCTTCTAGCAAAATTTATTTAAATAAACATGAAATGACTTAGGAAAAATAGAACAAAACACTAAAAGCACCAAGTTTCTTCCAAAAAATGCCTGCATGAGGGTAAAAGTGCATGTAATAATATTCCGGCCACTCTACTCTGTTAATGTTGGCAAAGGGTCATTGCGTCCGATGTGATGTAGAGTGCATTAAATTTCCAAATGTCCAATAGTATACGTTGGTCTATCTCAAAATGTCCCACCTGGTCACATGGGTGTAGAACGCCCGTATGCATGCATGTAAGTACATGTGTACTTGCAAGTGTCGTCCATCGTGAAAACGCTGATTCAGGTTTGGAGGGTTTAGTTGACGTCAACCCACGGCACGTCATTTGGCAAGTTCATCGATCACTATATAGGCTGTGTAGGGCCGGTTGGAATGGAGACTGGTATGAAAAATAGAAACAGCGGTGACTCAGTACCCGGCTACCGCAGTAGAATTGTGCTGGCGCTACGACAGGCGTAACTGGCCTGAGCAAAGAGTGTGCAATAGGCGCCTAGTGTTATCCCACTTAGTAATAAAAGTTTTATTGGCAACGATTTTGTAGACTGAATGTTAGCTACCAAGTACCTACCCTAGCGAAATAGACATTTCTTACAATTAAGCCTTGTAAATATGAAATGTGACGTTTGGAGAAAGGAGTTTGTAAAACCATGCCGCCTATAGTGTACTCGCTGCCGCATAGCCTATTCTCCAATCCTAGTACAGTTGCAGAAAAAAGTGTGGTTATGTTGCCCAATATTTTTCAGGCGGAACCATGAGCGTTCATTTCAACATATTCACTGAGGAGGCAATATTATATTATCAGGGAACTGAGGAGCTACTTCATTTCTAGGCAAAATCTAATCCATGAGGATACTGCGAATCGCGTATTACGCAATGCACGAAACTCATTTACATAAAAATATTATTGACAAATCATGGGACCACAGCAGGAGAATGTGCTTTTTAACGCATACAGTGAACCACAAGCCCGCTTTCCCTGTGATAGGTTTTCTGGCATATAAAGCTGCGAATGCATCTCTGGCTCAAATCTGGTGACCGGGCAGACCAATCCTTTTGGACCTCTGCGACCGTTCCAACAGTGACCGAACACTTCCTTAAGATAATGCCGCACCGTTTGTGCGTAATGAGGAGGTGCGCCATATTGAAACTATATAGGCTGAAGCGAAGTGCCGAAGTAGCCAACGATAATTGGTGGTGAAAACATCGCTTTGTTTGGCTCCAATGTAATTTGTCAGCGACGATTCTCTTACCGCTGCAGAACCATAAGGGTAACCATAATTTAGTTACTTTGCAAACATGAGGTTAACGCCATATGAGCAAAGGAAGTACGTGACTCTGGTTTGCAAGGGGTGCATACCGCAGCCAAGTGAGCTTCAACGGTTTCATACACTGCCGTCAACTTTACAGTAAATATCAACAGCAACGCCTGCACCCTGTCGGGCAATTGAGCTATCGGACGTTTCTCATGTACCCGACTTGTTTTATTTTCTGCCAGCGTTCATACAACCCGACGAAATATACGCACCATTACCCATGGCAACAATACGTTACTGAACTTAATCGCTATTCATTATACACATCCTTACATGAAGTATGTTTCAAGAGCATAAAATCAACGAACCGCGTGTTCAAAATAACCGCTGTCGTTTTGCGTCGTAGTTTTCTTGTTTGTTTCAGAAGTTGGACGTACGCTTGTCACCTTTTTCGTTGTTGATTGCGAGACTGATGCGCGTGCTTCCCGGCTGTGGATCCTCCGTGTTTTTACCAACTCGTCTTGTATTGATTCCGGTGTTGCTCAAAAAGTAGTCACGCTACATATGACCTTCCTACTTTGACGATTGTGATTACCCGGGTAGATGATAAACATGCCGTTTATCGGTCAGCAAAACTACCTTTACCTCCCGGCTTAGGACAGAGCGCTGAGGATTTGGTATTTGAACAAGATCAGTCATGTTGGATTCCACCAGCACATCCTCGAAGTTTGCCATCTCCTGAACTGTTTCATTCATGTGTACCATAATATAATCGAATATTAGAACTGCTCTGAATAGTTGGTGCAACTAGAACACATTATTCATTTCCATTTGTTGTTTAGATGCTTGTTGACTTACGCCACAAACCTGTGATGGAACGCTTTGGGGTAATTTGAACAGCTATTGCCTCTTCTGATATCTCGTGTACACTTTGGCTAACCACATCTATCTTCAGGTCTAACCTTATCTATTGCCGGATGTTGTTGCATTGGAACCCTGCTTATGCACGGTCAAGCTACTTAGTAGAGGATTGATCCCCGCGGCCTTTGTCCCAGTCGCACGGTTAACATTGGTTAACGTTAATGCGCTTGTCACTCTAGGGTCACCGTACGCGAGTTTTGGATGCTTTCTGGACGCACAATGGTTCCCCATTGTTTTCGGCCCTTCAACTTGGCATTTAATGGGGGGATCTCAGCTGCTAATTGTCGGAAATGGGCAAATGCAATTTAAAGCACCAATTGAGTTGTTGTTTTCTTAGAAACGAACCTGTAGGAGTATTTCTAGAGCCAACAGAGAGAGGTAGATTCATTCGTAGCAGTGAGAATTGTTAAAAAACTGTAGTGCTCGTCTGGATATGAGCTTGAAGTGTGCTAAAATAATTTGTGTTACGCAAACCACTATCCGTAAATTAGATCTAGTTAAACGTTCCTACTGAAGAGAGGAAGTTAATCCAATTCCAACGGGTGTAAGATAGCTGTACTAGTTGAAGATAAAGATTCAAACATGTGTGATAGATTAAAACCCATTTACCTTATGACCGTACACTTTGTATCACGAAATATTTTAAGCAGAATGTTAATACATATATCGTAAATTGTAATGACAGAACAAGTGTAGTCTACTTCACAATGTTTTAAAAATATCGCCAGTAGACCAACACATTCACTGCAAAAATAATTGCAGCAAGCACCATGCCGTAATAGTATATACAATACACACGATGTTGCAAATATTTATGAGGTAAAATTTATTCCTCTTAAACCTTTAACTCACTCCAACTTTTGCTTTCGGAATCATAGATGGGGACACTTATCGGTGTGCAGTTGGTTCGTTTGAATTCCAGCATACGTTGTATCCAAAACAATTGTAGTAAAACAGTCTCGGTTACAGGAAGATCACTGACGTTAGGCATCTGCATATTTACCTCAAATCGGTGGTGATACGTTTGTGCAGTTTCGGACTTGGTCGCTTCATGTTGACAATCAATTAATCTTAGCAACGGAGATGCCTTTCGTATGTTGCTTATGAACTATGCACAGAAAACATTAAGGAGACATAGCAGATAATAAAAATTGTGTACTTGTCAAGCACAAGCGACTAAATGTTACTTGTATGCAAGTTAACCTTAGTCCGTTTTGTGTTAACACAACATGTAGCCAGTTTGATCTTTGCACGTAATAGTTGCGTATAACCAATAGTTCACCTGCATAAAATGTCGGTAGACGGTACCTCTCAGTAGATCAGGTTATACGTTCTTGTATCACCCAAACCTTGGTCAGCACAACATATATAAATAAATTAGTATGCTTAAAACAGTCCAGTTATGTGTATGTTGGATTGAACACTTTCATTTAGCGAGTGACATCCTCTAGCGGAAGGGAATATGTAGACACATTTTCCCATAGTGCTGCGCTATTAAATGCCTTTTCTCCTGTGCATCAAAAACTACAGTGGTCGACACTTATAGTAAGCATAAACGATTCATTAAAAACATGAAGAAAATAATTGTTCACCGGGACTTATATGCAATTCTTTCAAGTTAATTGCAATAACCAACCAACATAATAATAACGCATAGTTTCCCTGCTCTAGGTTAGCAATCAACCCATATATAGATCAACTCGAATGTAAAGCAAACGTACACGACGGCATAACAATAACTTTTCGTATATACAGGGCACAGATTGCATGCAGATGACGTGGCAAGGATAGGGTAAACTCTATTCCATGCAGGCCCATATACATTGATTTCTACTCATAGAACCCCATAGCGACAGCCTATAACAGCATACAAACAATAACTGTCGCTATACTCGAACTGCAAGTATAGAACTCAGTCGATGTCACTGGCGGACAGTGAGTTTCCATGAGTAGAAAAGTGGTTAAAAACAGCACTAGAGTGTTGAGCGATTGCTTGCTGCTTCTACGTGGTTTGCAGCATACACGTGTGACAGGCGGTCCCTGGATGATGCGGCATAGTGCGGTCGACCTGTGCATGACACCACCGCGGACAACATTACTTCTATGCAAGCCATGCGGGAGCAGGATGCGTTGGTGGTTGCGCTACAGCTAAGAAATCCTCCGGGATTTC